GTGTGTCTCCCGCCCGGGCCCCCCGGGGGCCGACCACCCGCCGCTGGGTTTGGGCTGGGACCGCTTCTCGTTCAAGGGAAACTTTCTTCGCAGGGGGTGGCTGGGAGGGTGAGCGGTGACCCCCTCCCGCTGCCGCGGGGGCAGGGGTGAGGGGTTGCGGGGCGCCCCGTGCAGAGGGACCCAGGAGCGTTTAATAACCGTTGTGAGAAGGGCTCCCCCCCCCCCCCCCCCCCCCTGCCGCGGGGGCAGGGGTGAGGGGTTGCGGGGCGCCCCGTGCAGAGGGACCCAGGAGCGTTTAATAACCGTTGTGAGAAGGGCTCATCTGGCACAGAAACGTCCAGATTGCGCCCTGCTAGCACGTTGGCTTGTTTTTCCTGCTTTTTTAATGTTTGGATAAAGTGTTGGGTTTTTTAGTTCATGAAGCAGCAAAACAATACCGAAAGAAAGAAATCCAGTGCCGCATTAACATTTTTTTCCCCTCTTATGAGAACAATACAGGCTCACTGTAAGCTTGCCCAAACATGGGCTGCCTTTTATTATATATTGGTACGGTGCCTGGTGCAACAGGGTCCTCTTTTGGCTGGGTTCACACGCTCAGCACCAGTAAGAAGTGACTGGCACACCGGGGATGATGCTGTGTTGGTGACAAATACCACCTGCTGAGAAGCTGGGTTTTCACAATGGGAGAAAGGTGGAAGGCTTTGAGCAAACCCCGTTCTGTCTGTTTGAAGTAGCAGATGTTCGGCTCTGGTTGACTTCAGTCACTTGCGTGGCTCTTGAAAGCACCTTGTTCAAAGTCCCCAGTACCTTTTTTTTTTTTTTAATGTTGGTGTCTGTATTTTTTAAAAAAGAAGTTAATAACTTTGTGATTGAATTGAAAGACTATGTGACATCTAACTGTCGGTACGAAAACAACTGTCTGTCTACATTAAAGATGACACGGCAACTTACCTTCCGTGCCGTAAAAGGTTGCTGTATAGCTTTGGTCCTAGACACCTATGTGTACCTTTAGCCTGAGGAGATACTACATGAAACCTATCTGTCTGCTTTATGCATTTACAGAATTAGGTCTTCATTGGTGGGTTTTCTCTTCTGAGGCATTTTTTTATCATCACTGCTTATGGGGTATCATATTTGATATTGCAAGCTAGAGATTGTTCACTTAAGTTTATTGCAGTTTTAATCCAAAGGTGCAATAGCAGAAAGCTTCAAATAAGCTAGTTAGCTGGGGGAGGAGGGCTTGGGTTTATTGTTAAGCACCCCAATGTGACCTTTTTTTTTTTTTCTCCCCTCCCCCCCCCGCCCCCAAGAATTAACCTTTATTGAAGGAGCTGCAAGGGTGAAGGGAAGTAGGATTTAACTTGTGTTCCAATAGACTTTTCAGTTGCTGGTTTTTATTTCAGTGCTGGTTGAAGTACTTGTGAAAATTGCTCACCTGCAGGAAACATGAGGTCGCAGTACGTCACAGCGCCCACAGTCACTCTCCTTCTGTTCCTGCTGTGGATCCAGTCGTCAACAGGCTGCAATAAGGCGCTCTGTGCTAGCGATGTCAGTAAATGCCTGATACAGGTACGAGTCATGTTTCCTTTATTTGCTTTTAAGCGTTTAAGAAACAGTTGTGAAGCTGTGTCTTGAAAAGATCCAGTGATAAAAATAACCGGTATTTTATGTTAAATAGTGGGTTTTTTTAAAGAAGTTAATTATGGTCTCCTGCACACGTAAATGCACATTAACAACCGTTTTATAGGTAAGTGCATGTGTATATGGGCATGTTTGTTTTTTTAATCCTTGACATTTTCAAGTCATTTTCAACCCAATGATTGCTGGCTTATTGTTAGAAGCCACTACCAGTCACACAGTTAGTTTTCAGTCTCTTCTTCTTTATTAGTGATATTATGAACAAGCAGCAATTTAAAACAGGCATTTTGTTAGAAAGGTTTCTGTAGGCAACAATTGGGTTTTTTTAAAGGTATCTGCAATACCAGCAGTTCAAATGTGCCGACAGTGTTCTGATATCTGTCTGACATGTTCCCCTTAACTTGCAATCTGTCCGCTTCCTTAACTCTCCTGGCCCAGGCAGAGAGTCAGGAGTTGATGCCTGATGTTCTCCATAACATCAGGTTTGTACAGTCGATGAAAAGATGCCTGAAAACTCACATGAGAGAACTAACACGAGTAGGGACCTAACTTGTCTTAGAGTCCTGAGGTGCATTTGGAAAAGCTTTTTGATCAGGAGGGACCTATGGCTACTAATGGTAATGAGCAAACTCTGAAAGCATGCGGGTCTACCTTAAAAAAAACCCAACAAAACCAAACAAACCCTCAAAAACCCAAACAAAACACTTACAAGTTGAACTTGTAGGCCATGGAAGTTAAACTCAAATCCAGCTGCTGCTTTTGACTCACTGTGTGTAATGTCCACACAGTGAAAGAAACTGACTGAGACCAGGTTGCTCTTCTTATAGCAGGAGTAGAGAGGCGTGAAGTGCAGCAGAACGAGAGCGCCTTTTGTAGCAGAACTGCAAGCAGTTCTGGTATTTACCAAGTCTTTATTTATTGATGGTGTACTGAGCACGCTTTTTGACTCTATATTGGAAAAAAAGGAGCCATCGTGTGATCAGAATAGAATAGAACAGAACAGTTCAGTTGGAAGAGACCTGCAACGGTCATCTAGTCCAACTGCCTGACCACTGCAGGGCTGAACAAAAAAGTTAAAGCATGTTGTTAAGGGCATTGTCCAAATGCCTCTTCAACACTGACAGGCTTGGGGCATCGACCACCTCTCTAGGAAGCCTGTCCCAGTGTTTGACCACCCTCTCGGTAAAGAAATGCTCCCTAATGTCCAGTATGAACCTCCCTTGGCACAGCTTTGAACCATTCCCATGTGTCCTGCCACTGGATACCAGGGAGAAGAGATCAGCACCTCCCTCTCCACTTCCCCTCCTCAGGAAGCTGTAGAGAGCCATGAGGTCGCCCCTCAGCCTATTTTTCTCCAAGCTAGACAAACCCAGCATCCCCAGCTGCTCCTCACAGGACATGCCTTCCAGCCCTTTCACCAGCTTTGTTGCCCTCCTCTGGATGCATTCAAGGACTTTCACACCCTTCTTAAATTGTGGGGTCAGCTGCAGCTTCTTTAAAAGAAGCCATGTCTTACTGCCTCTTTGTAGCTTGGAAATGCAAAAGCAGAGAGCACAAATATCATAGGCCAGTAATGTGGTAGTATGTTTACTGTAAACGTATGATCACAGTCTGAAAAGTGATGCAGAAGTGGTGTGAAGCATTTCCATGTTTACTTCATTCCATTGACTTCCGTATAAAATTTGTCTGGTTTACAAATAAAAATACTTGCCGGATTCACGAATCCATCCCGTGGCATGAAGACTGACTGTAGGCTGAACTGTCTTCTTTCTGGCTTCTGCACTGCCATGGCTTTGGAAAAAAGAAAAAAAAAAAAAAGAAATTGCTGTTGCTTCTAAATCAGCCAGGGTCTGTAGAATTGTTAAATACAGGAGCAAGCAAGAGGCCTTTGACTTTCACATTTTCAAAGACAATGTCAGTGGTTTTGCTGGTGTGTTGGGCATTGTGCACTGTGACAAACTGATGTACTTACAAGTTCCTTCTTTTGCATTTTTTTGTATCACCTCTGGGCTTGAAACCTTTAGAAAGTAAGATGCCAGTAGCGGCACTGGATGTACGAGGCACTTAAATAGCAAGCACAGTGGTACAGATATGTTGATACATATTCAGGAGAAAGCAGTTGGTCCAAACGAATGGGGACGAAGGGAAAAACAGGGAAGATTTATAGTCTCCTTTTCCTCTGCCGATAAGGGAGTCTACCACCCATAAAAGTACAGGCATCTCCTTTCCATGTACCTTTTCTTAGAGTCAAGCCTGAGACGTACAGCATTTAAACTTCATTTTTACGAGCTAGCCTGGATAGGGTGCAGCCCAGAAGTGGAACTAATGCTACTGGAGTCCTTCCTCAGCTGGGAATGAGACAGGTGAGGTTCAGTGCTGCACAGAGGTGGCTCACACGACTGTGCTTTACTTGGATTATGTTGGCATCTCCGTAGCGATGCAGTCCTGTGCATGCAAAGAGGCCCCTGTACTGCTTTACAGTAGAGAGGTGTGTTCTGTCTTTAATTTGTACAGGTGATATGAAATCCCTTTTTAAAGCATCGCCCTAAAATCAAAATGGTATGCGGTTCTCCAAGACCCTAAAGTAACCCAGGCCATGTGAGTTGTGTACGTTTACGGGGGAATTCCGCTGTTCATTTTCACCATCTGGCTGCTCTTTTTTCTGTGAACAGGCCTGACATACCAGTCAGTATTCATTCTTCATAGAAGAACAAATCAGGTCAGACTAGTCTGATTGTGGATATGAAGACTCCTAAAGCTTTGACTCCTAAAGCAATTGTCATCTTTCTTCTTGGGTTTTTTGGGTTTGTTTGTTTGTTTGTTTGGCTGTTTTTTTTTAAATCTTCAGTGCTGTTGTGGCAGAAGCACTGCACTGCTGCGTGAAGTGCGTGTTATTTCTTGGGTAGGCGTAAAGGTAGAGTATATCCATGTATTTTTTTACCCCTCTAAACTCTTCCTTTGGAGAAATCTGAACTTAAAAATAAATTACTGCATTGAGTGAGTTTGCTTGACTATCGCAGGACATGTTTGCCTAACCTGTTTTTATAACTGTTCTAGTTTGGCAAAATCTGTGGCTTGAAACCAAGATAACGTCACTCGGAGACAACTAGGGGAGCAAACAGAATGTGAATGTTTGTCATCTGCATGCAGAAAGTGAGGCTGCTTGTCTTAGAGGCATAATGAGACAAAAGACCTACTCTCTCAAAAAGCATACAGTTAACATAAATATTTTTGCCAGCATGGCTAGAAGTCAGTACAGTCATAACTGCCGCTCCTTAGGAGCTGCTCTGCTTAAGGGTGGTCCCTACATAAATATTTATTTTGTTAGCTCCAGAACAGAGCATGAGATCAACAACTCGCATGCATTCAGCTTTCCTTTTACATCTTGAGGCTCTAGCTTCATTGGTACTCTCGTAGTCTACTTATTTTTCTGTAAGCAAAGACCTGTAAGAAAATAGCTTCGGGCATCTCTCCACATAAGCTTAGCCTTTGCAAAAAAACCTTCTGGCTTCCTGTAGTTGTTGAAGGAGTTGTGGATAAGACTTGGGAGTGTAGGCAGAGTGGGACCACAAAATTAGTTCCCGTGAAGGCTTTGGATGTAGTGCCTTCCCATGTCTCTGGAATTGGGGCACTGAAGTCAATAACTGACTGTTACTTTGCTTTTCAGGTAGGCCACTGAGCCCTGGTTGCACGCGACGTGCATATTGCACTATTTATTCTAGCACATCTGTTGTTGACATGGACGCGTGGGTTGTTTTGATGTTTCCATGTGTGGAGGAGATGAGAAGGCCAGTTACGCTCGCTGGGCGGAGTGGAGGCGTATATTGTGTCCTTGCAACATGGAGGAAATCCTTGAAGGCAGAAACTTCTAGGATGGGACGTTCCCACAATTGTTCGTAGCAAATGGGTTTGAGGCGAGTCCCAGGCTGGCTCTTGCGGTGCAGAGCTACCTGCAGTAGTCAGGCTTGGGTGGTACGTCCGTGTTGTGCTGTTGTGCTCAGGTTTGCTGTCTCGTCTGCAACAGCTCTTTGAACTACTGCCGTATGTAGGAAACAAACGGTGCTGCAGTTCAGGCATGGATTTCAGATCTTTTTAAAGAGGGGTTTTCTGCAGAATACAGAGTTTTCTTTCCCTCCCGAACGCTGCATGCCTGCAGTCACCTTGGCCGGTGCGGCATCATTCCAATTAAAATCTCTCTGCGTCTTTGTCTTCACCTCCTGTTAATCTTGTGTACAAACTTGTCAGCTTGAAAGGATTTCCAAGACTTTTTAGTCCTGTGGTATGAAATAAACACCGCTCCTTAACTTCAGGTCTTAGGCATCTAAAAATTACTTTTAGTGTGTATGTTGTAGCTGTAGTACCTAACACAGTTGGGTTAACGAAACAGTTCTGGCTGGTTTGCTTCCAGGAGATTTTCTGTTATTAAACTGTTCTAGGAAAAAACATTAGCTCTCTTTCTTTCACGCCCCCTTCCAGTTTGCAAAGATGTTGCCAGTGCCTTCAGGTCCTGTTTCTCACTGCACTGAGAAAATAGTCTCTGTCATTTCAAGAAAGCTTTGGAAACATGCAGATGTTAAATACCTTGCAAAAATCTTTATTTGCTCTCTGGAGCAGAAGTATCTTTATTGTACAAACCTGCCTGCATCCTGTTTAATGCTGTATTTTTAGACTTAGAGGCTTATTTCTTGCCTAGCAAAATACATTCTCCGATGCACCTTCAGTAGTTCAGCTTGGGAAGTTGCCAAGTTGACTTATGAGTAATATTTTCTTCCACTGACGCCTCACCACCCCCAGCTATCAACAAGGAACATTTCTCATTCTGCCTCGCTTCACCCACGTCTCATATAAGCATTCTTTTAAAAAGATGTATCCTGTGCAAGTATCCAGTGTGGATGAGTCAGGCAGAAGGACTCAAGAGTGGTTAAGGAAACGATGTACGTGCAAACACATATATGGAAAAACATACAGTTATTGCCCTGAAGAGACAGCCGAACTCTGAGAAGGGGGGAGCTGGAGAACTGTGCAGAAGACTAATTAGATTGCTCTTTCTTCCCTCATCCCCCTCCAAGTTAAAAAACCAAAAAAGGTAAAAAATAAAAATAGAAAATAAAATAAAAAATTACACTACTCATAAGCCCTTCCTATAAAAATAAAGTTATTAAAATACTGGTAGGTATAGTGCTGCTATCCCAAGCTAGTGCTTACAGATATGAAAGCTAAGCAGAATTTTTTTATTACGTTGCAAATGTATAATTTAAGGTTACATTTAATTCAGTGAGAATACTCTTCTTAGACTCACACAGTGCAATCTATAAAATTGACACAACTTAAATTCAGTGAATTTTCTGGCTTTGATTCATACATTACATTTAATAGTTTATGGAGAATTGCCTCCTCTCACATACTGGCTTGTTAGTGTTGCAATGTTTTTAATAAGTATAAAGTCATTTGCCCAGTTTTACTGTTGAAGAACAAATATATAGGATGTTTTTAATGCTAATATGTATTAATATTATTCTCTGGCCAAGCTAACAGTATTTTACTCATGGTTGTTCTTAAAGTTGTCTTATTCAAGCTTTTTATTCTCAAGGCTGACACGATCTGTTTATCAGACGGTAGGATAAATATTTTAGAAATGCGTCATTCATTCACATAAGTCATCTTTCTAAGTTTGTGGTGTCTCCTCTTGTGGAAAAAATTGTATATTAATGAGCCTGTTTTTCATCTTTCACTTGGAAACAGCATAGTAATAGGTGACAGTAATAAACTTTGAGGATGAAAAAGTAAAAAATCTTGGTAGTTTTCCACTCTGTAAATAAAAATTCAAGACTTAACTAAGGCTGCATATTGCAAAAATGCATGTGGAGCAGGAGTTCACGCTCAATCACTCCGCAGGGCAAGCAGTTCACATTAAATTGTGCAGGCGACAGCATTTCTCAGCGCTACGTAGAACATGCAGTAGTTTGTGAATTTTGTTTCTTTGCCGGCTTGAAGAAGTTTTGTGATCTAGGATGAAGTGAATGGAAAAATATCAGATCAATGCGTTTATACTGCATTAATATGTTGCAGCGTGTCTGCAGCAGGTTTGGGGGTTTGTTCAGTTTTTGTCCAGGACTGAGAGCCTTGCAGCAGAATTACTTGGAGTGGAGTATTGCCCCCTCTGCTTCTTCCCAAGACGCTACAGAAAGACATTGCAGGTGATGTTTGTGTCTGCCTGTAAGGAGTGGTGTCCCTGACCCAGCTGTGGTTACCTAGGGTGGAGCCTCAAGTGGCAACTCCAGGTTAGGAGAATTCCATGCCAAACCATCGTCTTGCCCTTCCCTCCTGTCCGCGTGCGTCTCCTGACCACGCTGCGGAGCCTCCCTCCCCTGCCTCTGGAGAGCGGGATCAAAGAGCGGGGATGGACGCCAACTTCTCCCTGGTCCGGTGTGTAGCAGAGATTTGCCAATGGCTCTTCCAGTAAAGCTGGGATCCAGTGGTCAGTGTTTCCAGTAACGGGACTTTATTTTCTCACGAGTTGTGCGTAACGTGATAGTTAGACAGACATCATCAAAACCAAATTCTTAGACAGGACAACCAAATGTGACTTCTTGACTGTCCACGTTTTGCCCTATGGCATAATTCAAGCCTGTATATTATCATCACGTAGCCACAGTCTTACGGCTGAACTGGAATTACTAGTACGGATTTGAGGTAGAGGGAAGGAGACAGCCTCGTTTTTAGATTTCCTTCATCCGTGTAGGCTATTTCCATGCTTTGAGGTCCAGCAGGACTGCTAAACCAGCGCCTTCAGGTTTAGGTAACATGAAGAGAAAGGTTTGTCTTTTTGCTTCCATGCCTTTTCTGTTTTTCTAGCTTAATAACGGTTGAAGAAGAATGTGTGTGCATACCATTTCACTTTCTAGAGGCTCAAGCAGTGTTGGAAGTATCCCAAGGTGTCGAATGGCAGGGGCGGGAAGGAGGGTGAGGGTTGTTTTCGTAATAGCAAGAATGAATCAGCTGGACCTGGGAAAAAAAAATATCTGATCACTAATATTGTAAATGGAGAGCAATGTGTAACAAGCATTCAGAGATGCACAAAGTCCTGTGGTCAGATGACTTAACCAAGTAAGTTCCTTTTAGAATCCACGAATAGGTGTGACGGTAGACGTCGTGTATCTTCTTTGGTATGCACATGCTGCTTATAGTAACTTCCTTTTTTAACTAAATTATAACGTATGCGCACTATTTCTGTAAAAAGAAACATCCTTCTCTGAATTTCCTGTTGTGATGGGAAAAACATTCAAAGAACTTGTAGATTCAGGCATACGTAGAAGTGCACACACCTTTCCCATGAACAGGATTTTATTCTCTTTTGAATGCTGACTTCAGATTTGTCTTCAGAATTTCATCTTTTAAAAAAAAAAAAAAAAACCTTGCAAAAGATCCTTTTATAAACTAAGATCGGTTCTTTGGCTGGAACTATTGTACCGTTTACTCACTGTATTAATGTACTAAGCTTTTTTAATGCCGTAATTTGAGTTGCGGCTTGAGGAAGGAATGCTGTGCCGTGTTAGCATTTTACATCTGGGGTTGCTGTGGTGTAATGAGTTTCTGTTGTTTTCAGGAGCTGTGTCAGTGCCGCCCTGGGGAAGGGAACTGCTCCTGCTGTAAGGAGTGCATGCTCTGCCTGGGCACACTTTGGGATGAGTGCTGCGACTGTGTTGGTAAGTTTGCATTTGTTTGGGATTTTCTTCTTTTTTTTAAATTGCTTCCTCCTGCCACATGCTGAGCTCACAGTCTTATAATAGAAGTAAAACATCGGGACAGAATCTGTGCTTTAAACATCTTACAGCTCAATTCTGTGGGTACTGAATAAATTACTGTGGGGAACCAAACATTTGAAGGCTGTATCTGCTCTATGGAGTTGGGGGGTGGCGGTAGTCCAGATTTTGCTTGGTTAATGTCATTGTAACTGACTCTTAATTTTGTCTCTAAAACATAAACTCCTTTTTGGATTCATCTTGAGGAAACTACGCAGCACCTGCTTCATGGGGTTGGATGCTGTATGGAGGTTTCTAACTGTAAAGTGGATTGACAGATACCCCACAGGGACGATTTTAGGTTTGAGTTCCCTTGTGAATCCTTGGGACCTGTAGTAAATGTGCATGGCCCAGTGTTTTCATTGTTCTTTTATTTGCAAAAAGAGCTCTTTGTGGAGGGTAAGAAAGAGGCATCAAGTTCTTACTGTAGGATTAGATGACAGTCTTAACAAGAACAGCATTGCTGCTAACAGGTAGTGTTCAGACTTACCAGATCTTTGCAAGTGAATGCTGCTCCTGCTTAAGGATATATTCTAGTTCTGTCTCTTGTTTTAAATATATGGAAAGCTTCATCCTCCTGTGGTTGCTGTAAGTCTCCCTCTGCTGCCATTCAAAATCCACCTGACTTCCATGAAAGGGATGCGTCCTGAGTATTGTACTGGCTCTTAGCTTCTCTGGCTGGCTGGGTCTTCTCTGAATTCACGAAGATGATTAGCTGCAAAATGCTCCTCTTCAGTGCAGCCCATTGCTTCTCCTGTTCCATCATGATGTGAATATGCTTTCTGACATCCTGCTTTTTCCTTGGCTCTGGCTAGCTTACCTTTGCTTTACTGTCTTTCAGCAAGCAGTGGAGTGGCATGGTCCTGCGCATGTGTGATTCTTCCCAATAGCATAAAGTATTTTCAGCCCCTGCACCTGTGGAGGACATAAACTTAGAAATAGGCCTTAGAGTTTGTTTTTTCTTATTTGATCTGAAATCTTTTAGTGGGCTTCTTGAAAAGTGAAATATAAATATATATCTCTCCTTTTTTCCCCATCCCCTTTGCCCTTCCAATGTCTTCTTGATTTTTGTAATGTAATACTAAAATGTGCTGTTGTTATGTTCAGTCATAGGAGTGAGACATAGGATAGTAGGTTATTTCCCTTGTTCAGAACTGCTATCTGCTGTAGAAAATAAGGCTTAGTGTGCCACTCTTCTCTAGGGAGAGGAAAAACCTACCTCTTGGGATTGTGAAGAAAAAGAGCTGAGTCCACATATGTTGTTTTTTTTTTTCTTTCTAAACCTGCAGATTACTCGCTGTTCTGCTGTTCTTTCCCATGGTGTTATCCAGGAGAGATGTTAACGAGGTTTTAGGTTCAGTTTCCCGGTACTGAGTGAACCAAAACATCTCCTGATGGTTCTGCAGGTGCCTCAGACCTTGTTGGTTCTATGGTATGGTCCTATTCTTCTCTTCAGCGTAGGGTCATCCTTGCTGTAGCCTTGTTCAAATGAGGAAACAGGAGTGCATGCCATACCCAGCTTCCTGAGGACAGTTCTTTGCTGATACTTGAGCTGATATTTAAGTCTCTTTATAAGCTGATCACGTCTAATGTGAGAGCTGATAGGTTGTCATGTCTTTCAGGTCATTTCTGCTTTGAGGTCAGGAATTGCCTCCTACCTTCCAGCATTAATTTTACTTCTGGTCAGTTGTTGTCCTGTGTTTTGTGTGGATCTTCTCTCCCTTCTCTGACAGGGATAAAGACACTAGAGGAGGGAGAACAACTACAGGTTCCTCTTTCCTCTGTTTTTCTAAGCTTTGTGGGTTAAGCTCTTCTAGTCCCTTACGTAAAGGCTTGTCTGCTTCCATCATTTCAATAGCCCATTTCTGCCTTTTCTCATCCAAGAAAGATGGATTGGGACTGTGTACAATGCTGGGGGCTGGCTAAAATCTCCATGTGAGAGCTGTGATGCTGGAAGGGAACTTGGATTTTCGGTAACAATATTTATGAAGAGATGGGTAAGAGGAGGGGACAAAAGAAGGAAAAATACTTAAATAGAAAGGATTATTGTATGGCTTGTTACAGTTGAATACATTTGTGTTTCTTTCAGTTGCAGGAGTCCTAGCTCTAGCATAACGGCATAGTTACATTTTAAATTCTGGTTATCAAATTCTGTCTTATATCATTGGTTTCCAAGGCAGTAATGTAGACATGTTTGTTTCTTACCAGTTGCTCTTAACTTAAGCTTTTTTATTTTTGCTTTGACCAAAGCTACTGTATTATAATAACTATTATAAAATTATAATTATTATAATTAATACTTTTAAAAAATAGTAAGAGGGAAGGATCTTTGTGGAATGAGCAGTTACCCATTAAACTATGAACAATGGTTTCTTGGTACCATCTTAAGATAACATTTTCATACTGGATTGATATGCACACATACTGTCCACATTCTGCAATAATTTGATAAACAATCTTGATGTTATTTTTTTTCCTGTGTGTCCTTCTTATCAGTGAAATTTATTTTCTGAATCCAACCTGATGGAGGGGGCCCCTAGAACGGCTCACTGATTTCCATTTCACAGCATTGATAGAATGACATCAATTAAAGTGTACATCTCTTGATGTATTTGTGCAAACCTCTTACCTGGTTTGATATCTCCCTAATTAAATTTTAGGTGGGCATCCTTTATTACCATTGTATGGTGAATATTCCAAGTGCTTACTAAAAGGTGATAATGCAGCGATAGAAATTTTTTATTAAAGCAGTTAGTCCAGAAACATCTGTGAAGAGCAAACCTAGTTGAGAAGAGTAGGAAAATAACTGTTTACAGTAGGAAGCTTGCGTAAGTGGAATTATTTTTTAGTGTGACCTGATGTTTGGAGGAGAGGGTTGGTTTTTTTTTCCTCCCTACTTAATACTTGGCTCACCTTTTTTATAGGAGCAGACTATCTTGTGTTGTTCCTATTGTTAAATGCTGGTAATGCTAAACCACTTGCTTAAGATTTGCCAGATCTCATGCTAATCATCATGGGCAAACTTCACCCTGTTTTGTTCATTATGGAAATCCATCTACTTAGATTGGAAAGATTGTGGTTTTGTATAAGGCTCTAGTTAAACACGATTTCTGAAGCTGGAGTCCTAATGTATCTGCAGGGCAGGAGATGCTTCTCTGGTTGTGTGGGGCAGGTAGACTTTGAACAGTTACGTCTCATATCGCTTTGATACTTTAAGGATTGGTGTGCTCTGCAGCTGTAGCTGTCTAAAACTGTGTCTGTGAAACTACCCAAAATGATTTCCAGGTGTACATAGGGAAAATGGATTTGTCTGTCTCTTGCCAGGTGACTTCTAATAGTGTTTTATGGCTTCTGAGTTTAAATACCGATGCAGATACAACTTTTCTTTTTAATCTTGGTTGTTTCAGTGTTCGGATTAAATCAATATACCTTTCAGTTTCATTGCTAGTAATAAATGTTAGTGTTTAAATGGTTAATGAAAAACTGGCACCTGCATTGCCCATCACAAAAACATTTTGTAGGAAGTGGTAAAGAGAAAAAAGTTACAAGGTTTCAAAAAAGATATCACAAAAGGCATTGAAAAATAAGGAAGAGGTAACCTGGAAATAAGCATTTTGCCTGTAGTGACCCCTCCAACTAAGAAGCAAAACAAGGTTCATCTCAGCTGTCTCTAAGCAGGTAAAGTAATTCAGACTTTTGATCCCTCCTGATAATGATCTTTGCATCTCTGGCAGACAACTAAAAAGATCCAGTGCGCTGCTGCAGCAGATAAGATTGAATACTTGAATTGTGATCAAAAGTTTCATGTACCTCAGGACTTGTCCAGATACTATCTTCATTCAGTTATAAGCTTTCATTCCAGATTTATGCTAGTATTGACTATACTGTGCTTTGTCTCTTTTCCCAGGGGAAACAAACCTTTCGTTGAACTCTTCGTATTCTAAACCATAATGCTAGGATAAAAAGGGAAGCAAAGGGCTCTTTAGATGAGGTTTTTTGTTTTCACTTGGCTCTCACAAGTCACAGGTGTGTTTTCTGGAAGTCTGCGGAGGTCTGAAGCCTGCCATTAGGGAAAGCTCGTCCTGCTGTATTTGGTGGCACTTCTGTTGTTGAGCTAAGCGTGGGATATATATGAAAGGGCTCTGTTCTGCTTCACAAAAAAAAAAAAGCGATTTTAATTTTCTAAATATTCCTGCCTGTTTCAAAGAGAAGAGTTTAGGGAGTTTCATGTAACTTACTCTTCCATTCCTCTGCAGGTATGTGCAATCCTCGCAATTACAGTGACACCCCTCCAACATCCAAGAGCACTGTTGAGGAGTTGCATGAACCAATTCCTTCCCTTTTCCGGGCACTGACAGAAGGGGATACTCAGCTGAACTGGAATATCGTTTCCTTCCCTGTGGCAGAAGAACTGTCGCACCACGAAAACCTCGTTTCCTTTTTAGAAACAGTGAACCAGCCACAGCATCAGAACGTCTCTGTTCCAAGCAACAATGTCCACGCACCTTACTCTAGTGACAAAGGTAACGAGTGTAGTGTCTAAATTCCTAGCGTTTCCTCTCGCCTCTTCCAGGCGCCTTCTCGGTGCATCTTCTGTGCTTGTCTGTGCTTGCTTCTTTTTTTTCCCCATAAAAAAGTCTGAAAAGTTCAGTCTAATTTTGAGCATGACCTAACAAAAGGAGCGAGGCAAAAACATTGAGGAACATGGAAGATGGTGTTAAAGCGTCTGATGATCTTAAGAGACGCTGAACCACGAGTTTGTTATCTCTATAATTTCTCCTGTGCCCTGAGGCAGTTTGTTCACGTTATTTCATGTGCACTGGCATGGTATGTTCTTTGACTTTGAAGCAGTTACCTGTAGCTTAGGAGACAGGACAGACCAAAAACTGAATCCAAATCATGTATCAGTGCAGAGGTAGGCAGCTGAAATGCATGGCTTCACATGAGAAAGCCACATCCCACAAACCATTGTATCTGGAGTAGATGTTTATGTCTTTCATCTGAGCTGGCGTAACTGGAACTCTTTCGAAGGATAGTTTGTAGGAAATCCAGGATTAATAGTAAACCTGAGTAAGATTAGCAAGATCGCTCTTTATGTTGAGGACGGATATGTGACAGACAATCTTAAAAATAAGCAATTTGAGGGTGGGGGGCTCAACTTATGGACTCATTTCTCTCATTTTCTATCAAGTTTTTTTTTATACTCTCACCTTCAGTTTAGAGGACAGACTTCAGAATATTGCTTGTTGGGGTAGGGAGGGGAAGATGAGAAGTTTGAGGTAGTGACAACAGTGGCGTAAGAAAAATACTCTCTGATTCTTCGTTTCCATGCTAAACCTGAAATACTTTTCCCTGCAAATCATTACATCAGACTTAAAAGAATCTCATGAATAGTTCATAGTGAAATTGCTGCTTAACAGGGAAAAAAGAGCATCTGATTTGTTTTATGAGTGTAATTAATGCTTTACTTCCTTCCCAACACACACTTTAAATATTCGTAACCACATATGTTGCTGTTGTGATGGCTCTTTTATCTTATCAATGAAAGATACCCTAATTGATGGACATGCTGCTTTTCCATACCATTGTGAACCTTTGACCTAGTTACGTTTCTGAGTAGGACTGCTGTTGATTAAATGAGACCATGATGGCAACTTTTCTAATTTCCTTTGGTTAAGGCACGTTAGAATAATAAATTAATTCCAGAACTGGGAAACCAGATGGTCAGAAAGCACCTCATTCATATGTCTTTGACGTTATTAAAACACTTGTTCGCCATCATGAGAACGATGCAGAAAGCCATGTTAAATGGCAAGCCACAAAAAGCCCGGTGTGCAAACGCTACAGTATTTAAAGATGTAAATTATACTTGGGGAAAAAAAATTATGCTTGGAACAATCTTGAGTATATCCCACTGTACTTAGGTACTGCAGCCCAGATGGCTGTTCCCTGAGAGTCCCTTACTACCATACCAACAGGATGGGCTAATGATAGTTTTGGATTAAACTTGGAAATTGCATTGCATCTCAAGGGTGTGGAGGAGTTTTGAGTTTAACAGTACAGACAAATACATAACACTGCAATTTTTTCTTAGTCAAAAGTCTCCTTCATTTCATTTACTAAGAACGTATTAGAGATTAGGTCGAGAGGGCTTTCACTGGAATGATGACAGTCCAAAAACAACAGTTATATTTGGAAATAGTTACCAAATGCCACTGGTTTTCAGGCTTCGGTAGACACTTAGAACAGAAATAAATGTCAGAGCTGTTCTTGTAATCATTGGCTATGCCTCCTCCATCTTAGTGATCAGTAAAGAGCTGGAAAAGGTAGAAAATGGCTTTCAACATCCTAAACTTTAAGTATCTAGATATGTAAGCCTATTGAGGAGTCTGTAATTTCTTGGTCACAATGTAGATAACTTTGTAGTGCTCTGCTTTTTCGGAAGTCATATTAAAGTTTGCTTATAAAACCATGGATGATTCGAGCGGTGAGAACGGGAGAAGGTGGAAAGAAAAGTTGGCTGCTGGCCTTGGTGGGTTGATGTTTATTATGGTGAAAGCAAGGACAACTGGGGAATTGCACCTCTTGTGCTGGATGTTGTGTGACCCATGGGGTGGCATTGTTGTTAATACTTTTTTTGAGGAGTTCACAGGGAACACAGTAACCAAAAGGTGGAGGGGTAGTAGGTCAAATGCCAAAGAGCCTAGTGAGCGTGGGCCCATAGAGGCAGCCCAGGAAGCTGCTGGAGCCTGATGGCTTCTGCCCATGCAAAGTTCAGTCACACAATCGAGCCGCTGTGGTTTAACAAGCTAGCATGTGTTAGAAGAACCACTGTAGTACAGGGTGGGTCTGTGCATGTGTATCTGTGTGTGCTCAGCTGCAGTAAAGACAAGCATAGCCTGCAGTGGAAGAAACGGAAGACCATCTCTTTACCCTTCTCCCCAAACATGCTGCTAGGCTTAAGGGCAGATCTTGCAAATGGAGACGTCCTTAAGGTGACTCACTAAGCAGTTGTCTTCAAGGCCGTGACTTTCAGGGATTTGAAAGAATATTCCTGTGAGCAGGAACACAGATGCTTTATGTTTTATTTACGGTGCTGTGCCTCCTCCATTTTGTGGTTCTTCTGTGGCTCCTTGCATGCTTGACTCCAACACGGTGTGCTGGCAGCAGCCTATTGCATTGCCTGTAAAGGGAGAGGGGCTAATGAGAGGTAGATTTTGGTAAGGCGACAGTAGTCTCTGTGCAGTCTTCTGGAATACATCCCAAAATTTGGAAAGGCTCTGCCTACAAATACCTGTTGTCATGTCGTGTAACACAGTTCTGATTTTAATTTCAACATGCGTTCATGCAGGGATCGCTGTTAAGCTGGTCCAGGGTGCCAGACTTGCTCGATGCAGTTCTGGGTGAGTGCCAGGAAAAGCAGCACCAGCCACGGGAACCCACGAGCTTTGTTCTTGAGTGGCCTGAAGCCACCGGCCCCGGGGCGTGGGGGCAGCTGTAGATCTGGGAGGAGGCGGGGTGCGGTGAGATATAAAGCATTCCTTTCTCGCCCCAGCCTACTGCGAGCCCAGCCGCCAGACCTTGAACTTCCCTGTTATTATCTTAATGAGTGTCTTCCCTTTCCTCTTGTGAATTGACTTTTAACGTTTTAGCTGCCAAAGTATGCGTGCGCTGCTGGAGCTGCTGTAGTTCTCCGTAGCAGTAGTTTCTGGCATTTGAGCCGCTACTTCAGAGAGGATTGTGATGATTATTAATCTAGAGCTACATTTATACTTTATTCTTTTTGCTTTACTTTGAGCTGATACCCTCAGAGCTCTGAACTGCTAGTTCAGCTGTTTAAATAAGCTTAATTGTTTCAGATGATGACAGGATGTTGGTGAGAGAGGGGAACTAGATAATCTTTTGGCAACTGATGAAACAAAATCTTTGTTGTAGTTAAGGGTTTCTGACTTATACTGCTTGGTGACACAGGGGATGGCGTCTGCTGTGTGCTTCTGCCCCCCTCTCATGCCAGCCAGGTAGAGGAGAGCTAGAAATCCAGTGAAGTGGCATTTACCTCTGTAGGTACTCTAGGGAGATTTTTTTTTTTAAATGTTTCTTTTTATAAATTCTGATTGGCATAAAATGGTATGGCTGCTGGCTGGACAATTACTTTTTTAAAGCACTTTTAGAGTGACGGATAAACAGACAAGCAGACAACTGAACTTACATAGCACCTTTAACTTCAAAGGTGGCATACAGAGAATTGTCATTAACTGGGAAAGTTTTTTCATCTTGTAGATGGGCATTTTTCCTTAACTTAGAACTGAATTGTTTTATCTGCTCTGAGTTGCTAAATTCTTCTGTAGTGCACCAATCCAGATCTCACTTGCAGCACAGACAGTATCATAGCAAAGCCTGATAGAAACATGAGTCCATTTTTTCTGGTCATTTTGAATTTAGACTTGATTGTTGTTTCTCCTACGCAACCTTTGTTGAATATGAATTAGGAGGAAAAAAAAGGTGAGAAGCTCATGTTCTGGGAAAAAAAGAATGTTGCTGCATCCTTCTCCCTCCCCACACCTGTAGTCTGTGGTCCTTACTGTGTGAAAATTGGCAAAATGGAAATGAAAGAGCTGTTACTGCACTCAGTAACACCCTTTTTATCTACACTGAGGGAGCCAAGTGATGACTATGTAATTAGGTTTGTGAAACAATTTAAATACTCTCCCGGATCCCAGCTGAGCCTGTAGGTATGTATTTTTTTTCCCCTGTGGAACTCTGTTTCTGCAGCCTATAAAGACAGATTTCATGCTTGATGCGAGGAACTCCCCTGCTTTCAGTAAGTCAGCATCTACACGGACGCACAGGCGCTGCTGAGGAGAGGACCAGGAGTGTCCCGTGACGAACAAAGTGCTCTCTGGCCAATCTGACTCATGCAGACCTGGCAAGTGTCTGAGTGAGCGAGACTTCAGAAATGGTTTGGTAGCATGTACGACAGAGCGTGTCCTCCAGCTGCTTACGAGAGCTACTGGGAACCAGCCAGGTCTACTGCTGGCTCCAGCCTGCCGTGTACAGTCTGTCCTCTGCCCTTCGCAGCATTTTTGGACGGGTCCTCCAGGACCTAATCCTCTTGGCTTGTCTGCAGGTGGAAATAAACTTTCTTCTCCACTCTCCAGTCAGTCAAGATTAATGTCCTTGGTTGTTGCTGCCACCTTAATAAGGCTGAGGTCTGGCTTTGGTTCCCGTTTTGGTCCTGGGAGAGTGGTCGAGGAAACCAGTCTCTCCAGTCACACAGGGCCCAACTGATATCATCTGGTTCTGCCAGGGTTATGGGCATGGTGCTGCCCGTTCTTCCAGCCTCCTTCCCCCTGGAGATATCTTCACTCATGCAAAAGCGCACCTCAGCGTTACTGCTGAAGAAAGGCTTATGTTGCCTCCAGCTGGGGCATGATGCACAGAAGGAACATGCCAGGCTGAGTGGGTCCTCATGGCGGGGGAGCTGCTCTGGGCATTTCAGTCCTCTGAGGAGATGGTGCTTGAAAAGAGGGCCAAGCAGAAGTTGTCTTTGTAGTGAAGAGCTAGATGGTGCCTCTGGGTGGGTCAGAGCTACCACAGGGATTCTCAGCAGTGCGTTAGTGGATGCTGTGGCTCTGAAAACAAGAGGAACAGCTGGGACTAGCCATCTCCTGCTATGAGGAGGAGTAAAAGGGGAAGGACAACCTTCAGGTAGACCAAGCCTGGACGGTGAGCCCTGCTGTTGGAGGAACAGCAGAGGCAAGACTGCTGGGAGGGGTGCCAGTAAGAGCCACTAGCTGCTTTGTGCATCCTGCTGCTGGAGGAGTACCAGAGCTTGGTTTTCTAGGGATGGTGCTACTGGTTGTGCCCATCTGCTGCTGTACACGTGCTCCGCTCTTTGTGATACAGCCTGCTTTTCCACAGGCTGTGCCTGTGTCCTGAGCCACCAACTTAGTGCACACGTTGGTTAGATTCCACTGAGCAGCAGACAGGAACTTCAGGCATGGGTAGTTCAGTGTCATTGATTCTTTGCACCCTAGAAATCATATGCTCTTCTTCCAGAAGAGGTTTACTTCAAGTTTCAGCAGGCATAAGCTGATGAATTGGGCTCCTCCAGAACTTCTGAACTGATACTGTCACAGATGAGGCTAACACAAAGGTGACCACAGGAATCCCCTAACCTAGACAGGACTGGTCATTCCCTGGTGTGAAGACAGACTGCAATTGCTGGGAGCAGCTAACCCACCTGAGGGTGTGCACAACCTTCCTGACGATCTTTCCTGACCTACTGGCCTTCCGTTGCATATTGCAAATAGGAGTGCAGTGATCAATGTGATAGCAGTGAGCACTTCTAGCCACCCTTTGGAGATGACTCTGGTTTCTTAAAAGAGTTGTTCCACTACTGTCTAGGGAGAGCATGAGTCGTTTTGCTTCTCAAGATGACCTGGAGACTAGGTCAGTCAGGTGGAGATAGCACCTCAAAAGGTGATTTTGCAGCAAGAACTCTTTCTGGATTAGCCAGGATTGCCTGTTTTGGGGCAGAGGCTGTGTGCCTCCAGCTGATGCCTTCTAAGACTGACCTTAGTCTTAGCATTTAAGCACTGACCTTAGCATTTAAGGTCAAACTTGAGAAGAAAACTACTAAAAAAGGATCAAAGGAGTGAACTGGGATGAAGCAAGAGGTTATAAAAAGCATGAATACTTCTTAGAGAGGTTTCTGTAAGAACTCTTCCTCTGGTTGCTGTGCCTCAGGCTTTATTAAAAAGGGTCATAGAAATAGAAGTGCCAAGAATGGGACAGGACTTACACAGCCACAGTGTATTTTGTTGAAATTTCCAGCAGTACTTCAGGTACTCCAAGATTTCTTGGGCAACTGCAGCTTTACTCACAGCACAGCTTTCCTGGCAGCAGAAAACCACTTCAGCTATGGGTCTGCACTTCCTCCCCAAGATCCTTCTTGCCTGTAGCGCTGTATATGGTGCCTGCAAGAAGTGTGCATCAGTTCAGAGCCTGAACAAGGCCGTTAATTCTTCTTGCTTTCAGTGGGCTGGCAGCATGTCCTGTGACCCTCTGGCAGCTGTTTAAGAACTAGTAAAATAGTTTGACAGCGATCAGGGTTCCCTCATACATGTTTTGACAAATGGTAATTCTTGAAAGGGTAGGCATGGTTTCCAGATGTCAAGGAGGAGGACGTGTCCACAGAAAGGCTGGCGGGTACATTGGGCTCTCCTCCATGTTGTGCTGTTCCTTGCCACCTGCCCACAGAGATCATCTATTGTTGGTGCTGGGGAAACTGACTGCCTAGATCTGATGGCTTGTAGGGTGATGGAGACCCTTGGTGGCCTCAGCTCACCTTTGGACCTCACCTTAGGAGCATGCCATGAGATATGCATACTACTGAGGTTGCTAATCTGTGGAACACCAGTGTTTTGAAGGGGAGGTTCTGGTGCACTGCAGCCTCCCAAGACCTACTCGCAGATAAGAGACTGAATAAACGCTATAGTTAACACCTACACTGCTCCGAGAGTCCTTCGGTTACTCACCCTTCTCCATATCTCCATAATAATTCAAAAAAAACCCCACTGTCCTGATTTACTATTTACGTTTGGATTACATTTTTCTAATCCACGTTGGAATGTAGGTCAGTATGTTTCTCCTGCATCCACACGCCATAAGCAGTAATAGGCTCGAAAGCCCCTTGATATCTCCCGCTCACAAACCTGTCTGATGTGTGCAAGTGAGACATTTATGTTTGCCAGACAGCTTTTGGCTGCGCTTTTCCCCAAAGCGTGCCAAGTTACATTGGGGGTAAATGTGATGCAATCAAGATCCTTTGGAGGATGAACGAAGTTACGGTGTAATCACCCAGTCAGCACAGCAGAAAGTTGGTGGAATCTGTCAGCGTGGAGAACTGGAAGCAGACTGGGGAGGGATGTTTTCGTTTTATAGCTGTGGTGAATGCCTCAGCTCCAGTTTGAGGTTGCAACACCAAACTTCATGGCATTTCAAGTAATTGCATGGATGTTAGAAGAATAAAGTCGATGCTTAGGCAGAAGGGGTTTCTTAATCTTAGTAGTAAAGCTGATGTTGTTGCTATAACAAGAACAAAAAAGTGTGCAGTTTCAAGTTGAGGAAGACGTGATTCTCTAACTCTGTGATTTAACGTAGTTTAAGAATATTATTGAGTTGTGAGGGAGAGGAAATGTTTACACTTAAATAAGTGGGTTTTGGTGTTATTTAAATAACTTCTCTAAACCTGAACTTTTTAATGATAGCATATAGTAACTGCTGGCAACTGTGAAAGTGATATCTTGGTGATAAAGATACTACCTTCAGAGGACACATGCTTGCTTCTTATTTTGGCATGGCCCATCCTTACACTTTAAAAGGTATCCCTTATAACCGTGGGACACAAAAAAAACCCAACAAAAACATTCTCGCCTGTGACTATAGAAATAAATTAATCTAGAGGCAGGTTGAGTTGTAGACACTGAAAACTTGGAGTTGATAGATTGCACTTAGGGTCTCTGTCTCTTCTCTCTGCTTTCACCTGTTTTTTCTTTATGCCTCGTAGTCATGATGATTTGCAGTCCTACTTCAAATGCTGCACATTTAATTAATTTTTAACTAACCTTTAAAAATATTCTAAGACCTTTTAAACCAAATTTTTTCCCCCTCTTGGTTTAGAACACATGTGTACTGTGGTGTATTTTGATGACTGCATGTCAATACATCAGTGCAAGATCTCTTGCGAGTCCATGGGAGCATCCAAATACCGATGGTTTCACAACGCCTGCTGTGAGTGTATTGGGCCAGAATGCATCGACTATGGCAGTAAAACTGTAAAGTGTATGAACTGCATGTTTTGAAGCAGGAAAATTGTAATATAGCAATACTGAGGCCAAAGTAATCTCTCTCAGTTAAAGAGGTGAGGATTGCAAATACGGCGTTTTGGTGGAGTGCCTACTGGTTGCAATTAAATGTACCTGATTGAAAAAAGGTGTATAAAATCTGAAAACTTTTTCCTTTTTTTTTTTTTTTTTTTTTATTTTATGTAAGCAAGGCTAACTAGAAGATTTTTCCCCACTTTT